CCTCCCACAAACACTTAAGCAACACGGTACTGGACAGCTCCACTATTTCCTGAACTTAAGGCAGCAGCTCCTTTACGTCACGTCTTCATTAAGCTTTCCGCTGTATGAGAGCTACACTGTCCAGAGACTGAACCATAAACTGGCTGTACTATGTGAACCTAAGTGACCATATCCCCGATTCACACAGTCTATAATCTTCAGAAACTCAGAATCACCGTCTGACCTGCCAGAAGCAATTGTTCAGGCTCTAAACAAGCAGAACTGCCCATCGGTTCTGTGCTCAGCCGATACATCCTCACAGCGCCGCCAGCTTGAGAAACCTTTGAGTACAAAGTACCAAGAAGGCCGTGGTTTGACAACACCTGAATTAACTTTGATTTCTTGACACAGCGGACGACTTAAATCTCATAACAGATGGGAAAACACATAAACACAGCTGCTGAGCCCCGAGCCTCGGCAACGAACAAGCAAATAACTAAAACCAAATACCACCACTACAGCAGAGAAGCACATGGCACATCCTCTCATTTTCATAGATTTGAATAGCAAAAAGCAGCGAGAGCTTTACGCCACGGCTCAGCTGAGGAGGACTAATTAGAGGAGAAGATAAAAACGCTCCATGCCACGGTGTTGTTGTTTTTTTTTTCTTCCTCTCTAGGGCTTTTGGACAGATTTGCATGCACAAATCTGGGGAGTGGATTGCATCAATTAAACCAAAACATCTTTGTAGTCCGGGATGTTTTGGCTAAAAGCTCTTCACTCCAAACCTCCTTGTTCCAGCCTTTCAGAGTTTGGAAAGGATGACCCAATTTTTGTACCATCTTCTCATAGCTCCCCCATTTTTGATAGCACAGGAATCTGACATCAAAAGCAGCAGACTGTCCGGTGAAAGCACTCCACCCTGCTGGGGTCTAATGTCCTTAAGGAGCAGAGCATCTTCAAGGAGAAGGAGCATATTAGAATTAGATATGGAGCTAAATGGAAGAAAGCTGCAGGCTGCTGACAAGCCCGGGCAGTGAGTGAAAGTCGTGGGAATGGTCAACCGGTGATTGAGATTCTGCAGCGTGCTCAGCTTGTCCGGGAAGCCTGAGATAAATGTAGGTGACTTTATATCTAAAAGAAGAGGACACAATCAGGGAAATGAGAGTCTTCATTTGTCCGTCTTGTTGGTAGAAGTCATGTGAAGTTCAGGCATAAATCATTCTGCTCCTAGGATGAAAACACAATCAACAAAAAAGAAGACAAAAGGACGACTAAATGACATGATTTGATTAGATCGTCCTACACGCTGCGGCTGATTCGGGCTGCCTCACTCGGGGAAAGTCACCTTGTCTGGCTCAGAATGTGGAGATACAGCCGTTGACTTTGTTTGGCATTACATCACTGATTTGTTTAACACTTTTATACACAGACAGAAGAAATACAAAGAAAGTCCTCACTCAGACCTATTAGTTTGGGTTTATCTCAAAAACAGATGACTGATGCTGCTCTCGCAAGAAGAAGCATCTTTGTCATCAGGACTGTGGAGTCCCTGGGAACAAATGACCATCCACTGATTTACAGTCCTCGTGGGATAGATTTATGTTCAGCGGCCACTTTCTGAGATGACCACATCCTTCAGGGATAAGCACACAACACAAGGAGTGATAATGGATGCAGTAGTGATGGACTTAGTGAAGTCGTCACTTAAGTACTCATTACAAACATCGTGACATCCCAGGAGGGTGGGTCTGGAGGGAAATGGGCTGTTTGCTGTTTCTACTTTCATCTCCTCAGGAGGAAAAACAGCCAAACTATTTATAAATCCTCACGTAGCTCTTCGCTTCAAAGTTATCTAGACCTTCGTTTTCTCTGCCTAGAGTACGCGTTTATAAACTCAAATCGTCACTGTTTCGCTCGGATTATTTTCAAGGTGACACAACGCACTCACGTCACCCCGGCAGAAGGAGGAGTAAGCGTGGTTTTGAGCAGAAAAAATGATGAGAGGGGCTTTTCTTTTCCTTCTTTAGAGCAGTTTGCCTCTGAGTTGTGGGCGGAGACAGCGCTGCTCTGCACACTCCTCTTCATGCTAGCTTGTAGCCTAACATTGAATAGAATAGAATAGAATAGAATAGAATAGAATAGAATATTCCTTTCTTGATCCCCCATGGGAGAAATTTTTTTGCAACAGCAGAAACACAGACAAAGATAAAAATAAAGATCGTAATATTAAGAACTTAAATGTTATAATTAAGAAAAAAAATTAGAAAAGGAAAAAGGGAGAAGAAAAATAAAATAAAATAAAATAAAATAAAACACAATTTAAGTACCAGAAAAAGACATTGCTGGTTCAGTAGAAGTGGCAGGTAACATAGGAGCTATTCAGCTGTCAGACCCTAATAACTTTGGCGGGATTATAAAAGTTTATATCATAATTTGCTCTCTTGAATGCATTGCAATCCACAAACACACACGCTTGTTACCGATAATTGCACTTTAACTAAAAAAAAAAAATCCTGTAAACAATAAAAATCACTTGGAACTTATTTACACTACACAACAGATATAGAGTGTTCTCTTTTCTTTTTCTCTCTCTTTTGTTGTCTGGTTCTTTTGTTTTTAGTCACAACTAAGCAGCTCAAAAATCTCCTCTCCCTCCACTCCTCTCTCATTTCTCTCACTCCTCTCTCTTCTCCTCTCCACTCCACTGTTATATTTAACATTCCTTGTTTTTGTCGTTGTTTTAGGGCTCTGATCCTTATGAGCAGATTTCTCCAGATTCTCAGAATCTTCATTGACACTAAAGACTGTAGATGATAAAAACCCAAAGATTAAATTAATAATCATTTTAGTGTTGAGCATTTATCATAAAAACATATCTTTCTTTCTGTGTCAACATTTCATATCCTGTCATTGTTCTATTTTCAATCATTTTATTAAATGCTTTTTTTTCTCTCTAAAACTGCAGGAAAACAAATGCTTCAATTTTACACTGAAGCGGTGTCCTCTTTACAGCAGCAGAGCAACACTGTAGAAAAGCAAGACTCAGATTTCACTTGTCACATGTCGGGACTGAAGGGCGTTGATCTAGAACCGTGTAAACAAAACCGGGTGACCCACAAGACAAAGGCTGGGACACCTAAAGCTGGAGATCGAAAAAATCCCTGTATTCACATGAAGAAGAAAAAACATTTATCCACTCACACAGGTATCCAAGTGTGGCAATAAAATAGGCTGTGCTGTGGCCTTGACTGGCTGTTGAGGAAAAGAGACAGCGAGGTAAAAACAGACCATCAGCCATCCTGCTAAAAGAGCTTCTGCCCTCCTTTGATCCTGAGACGGAGGACTGCCGTCATCACTGTCGTCATGGGCAGGTCTCCCCTTGCTTTCAGTCACAGTCACTTACTGAAAGCACCAGTTAACATCTGTCTGAGAAGAGTTTCCACTTTGTTGAGTTTGCCTCATACCGAAACCTTTAGAGCCTGCAAAAATACCCACACAAACCAAGTCCTGTCTTAAAACTGAGGAGACAGGAAGGGATGGACAAGCCCACTCTGGTCCCTCAGATGAAGCCTGTGACTCAAGCTAATCCGGGGACTCATTTAAGAAGGTTTGATTCTTTATCAAACCCCCTGATGTTAGTTAAGATGTCTGATACGCTTAAAGCATGCTAATGTGCACCCCCTCCCCTATCCGTCCCTCTCCAGCTGAGGTCTGTGCAAAGGTTCAGAGAGATCTGCAGCAGCAGATGTGCTGGTACACATGGCCACAGGGCAGACTGACAAACCTTTTGTTCACCAGCCACAGCATCACACACACAAACCAAAGTCATATTTGACTACAGCTGTCATATCGTGCCTTTGTGTTGTTTTTTTGTACTGGAATGTTTGTGGGGCATTTTCAATCAGGATTCAGATTATTTATTGAAATGAGATGCTTTTGGGAAATGAGATGATTACTGAGAAAAATGGATTACTGAGAGGGGGTTGGGAGGGGGGCTCTGGATCTCTGTGGGCTGGTTAGGTTTAAAACTAAAACATCACATGAATCACTACGTCGATCTATCATCTCAAATCAAGACCGCAGCCCCTCAGCATTTCCGTCTCTGTGGCTCTTAAGTTTCTAAGCAAACTCACACTTTAACTTTCTGTAAGCCTTAATGCTCGAATAACTGGTGCCATTACCCTGAGAACTTGGCCTGTATCAGACTCTCATGAGACCTGGTCATGGTCCAGAACTGACCTGCATGCTCAAACAACAACAATAACAAAGATGTGTGGACTCTGCATGTTCTCCGTGCGCATGTCTGGGTCCTCGGAGTATGCTGGCTTCCTCTTACAGTCCAAAATTAGGCTTTTCAGACAAACTGGTCATTTCAGACTGCCTGTGGGTGTTGGGTGTCCAGAAAGGCGCTTTTAAATAAAATGTATTATTGTTATTATTATTATTATCATATGTCAGTGACCACTGGGATAGGTGTTAGCCCCTGTACAGTTAAAGCTAGATAGATAGAGAATTTCCGAGTTTGGGATCAATAAAGTCTGTCTGTCTGTCTGTCTGTCTGTCTGTCTATCTAAAGCTACTGTGAGGGCCTTGTGGTTTGTGTTGATATTGGCGCCCCCTGTCTTATTCTTTGTCCTGTACAGGTCTAAGTAGTCTTTTCAGACAAAAAACTCATCCTGTTGTCTTCTAAGAGTTAAATATTTCCCCCATTCTGAGTATTCACCGTGAACAAAGTCAGAACAGGCCTGCTGTCGATCATCTGGTTCAACACCAACATCCTCACAGCAGTTTGAAGCAAAAGTCTTGTTCAACTGGTCGACTTATTGGTCGATACGTGCTGAGTTGACCAAAATTTTGATTGGTCGACTCAATTTTTTTCCACGTCAATTTACAGCCTATGGTTTAATTCTTCAGGAGAAACGTACTAAAGTGCTAATGGGGATGTTTTCAGAGCACTGCCATTTCACAGGTAACAGCCTGTCTCAGAACACCCCCCTTGTTTTCACCATTTTGGATTCGCCCAACCCAATGGAGACCAGCTGGAAACGGGGAGATTAAAGAGCGTCCACGTTAATCAACATCCGGTGGTTTACTGAATATTTTTTTTCATTTTGAGCGTTTCAACTTGCCTTTAGTGTCAATTGCCTTCTTGTGCTAATGTCGGTATATTTTCAACCTGCTGAGCCGCATCATCCCCCACCGCAGGGTTTGCCGTCAGTCGTGGCTAAAAGGGGCAAGAGCAAGTCAGTCGTGTGGAACTGTTACGGCTTCACAGTTTTGGATGAAGAGCAAACCACTCCCCACAGCAAAGTCTGTCTGAAGGCGGTATCAACCCGTCCACATGGAACATAAACGAAGTTTTAAATCCACGCCATTAGATGGAGCTTGTTCACCGTCCATGTTCCACCGATACTTAAAGCAGCCATTGCCTACGTAATTATCATGTGACACGTCAACACAAAAATACTTTTGAATCGTCAATGAATCGCCCCAGCCCTAGCATGGCGTATTTTAAGGTGTGTTGTCTTCCTCTCTGTGGGCGAAGACAAATGACCAGACGGAGTTATAGCGTCACATTATGTGTGTATTTTCTGTTAGATAGGATGCAAAGGGGAAAATATTTTAATGTAAGGTCTGAAAAAATAAGACTGCATTCAGAGCTGCCGGCACCATAACGAAAACAACTGTCTCTGATCTGATTTAGCAAAAGGAAACACAAATCAGATTTTCTGTTTGGCTTCATTCGACTGTGATTCATTCTCAGTTTGGTTGCAGGCCAGGGTCCATTATTGAAGCTGTCCTGTTTCTGTCAGATTGAGGCAGAAATTTCTTCTTAAGTGTTTAAACTGCATGGATGTTACAGCCCTAAAATGTTAAAGCCCTGCTGTAAAAAGTATTACTTTCAGTTGGTCGGTGGACGGAGAGTTGTTAAAGGCTTTGCTGTCAATATCACACTCATCAGTTTGCGTACATGGTGCAGCAGCTGGATGCTACCGGCAAGAAATGATCGTGGCAGGTTTACACTAACTTGTGTGGCCTAAAACGAAGATACTGTTGACTCCTCTTTGTTTGGCTAGTCTTGGTTAGTTTCAGTATACTGCCACAACAGTGAAAGAGCGTTAAAACTCTAGTGAGAGGTTTCCAAGATCGCACTGCTTTCAAGTAGACAAGCAGTACCCTGTTGAACAGGTACCCCATGGCTGGCGCACTGAATACCACTGTGACTGCCGCATCATCTACCCAGCATCCCATGTCTCACTCGTTCAGTTTAGTTTGCAGTTGAAGCATCAGCGATGTGCTTGTATTTGTCCTTGCAGTTATTTTGCAGAAAAAAAAACAACACTTAAGTCTCTCCAAGCTGTTAAACTTGTCTAGCACCGTATCCTACTCAGCAATGTAAACAAACACAGCCCGTTCATTCCCAGGCATGCATTTTCAGCCATGCAGTCTTGTTTTAGATTTAATGAGAGCCGTTATGCGTTTTGAAGATAGTTTGCCTAGCACTTGGTACGTTCCTCCCGATGAAATTAACCATAAACTGTAAATTGACGCAGAGAAAAATCGAGTCAAACAATCAGAATTTTGGCTGACTCAGCACGCATCAACCAATAAGCCGACCAGCTGACTAGGACTTTACAGCTCTAATTTATTGTTACTAAACAATCATTGTAACCATGAGTGAGGTGAGCCTTTTCTTGGCTGCTAAACCTCCATTACTTATCAGGTTGGTGTATGAATGTGTAGGGAATCGAATTATTTATAAGAGCGCCAATCCCTGAGAAAGCTCGGTGTTGCGGTTTTCCAAAAATAGACATCGTCAAGCTTAATGCAGACAGTATACCGCGGTGCGCGGTACATCCACCAGCACTACCTGAATGTGTTTGGCTGTGTGTTACTGACAGTTGACCTCAGATAAGGTAAAACAATGTTTTAGAGCTTTGTGAATGTAAAAAAATCACTGATAAAAAGGCACTTTTGTGCAACTCTAATTTTTTTTAATTCAAGAGATTCTTTAATAAATCATTGAAGTGAATACTAATTAGATAAGTTTTCTATTTTAACTTTGGTTCCATTGTTATATCAATTGGGTAATAAAAAATAATCATTAGAATAACAAATGTCAATTGATTAGTCGACTAATCTGAGAGATGACAGTAAGATTTATCGATAAAAAAATAATCATTAGGTCAGAGTTCCTACACAGTTGGATTTTCCATATATTTTCATTCCCTACTTTTAGAATTATTTCTGGAAATTCCTGTTTTGCTATTTTAGAAAGCAGTGTTGTTTTTACTGTTTCATACTTTTCGGTACTTTCCATACTTGAGTAGAAACCCTGTTAGGTGAACTCCTCCAGCACACACTTCACTCTCCTGCAGTGTTTCCTGTCTACACTGGTTGATCATTTCCCTGTAATCTAATGCTTGGCTTCTCATCTCCGGTGGCACTCAGCTATGTGTGTGTGTGTGTGTGTGTGTGTGTGTGTGTGTGTGTGTGTGTGTGTGTGTGTGTGTGTGTGTGTGTGCCAGGGCTGTATTTTCAAAGGACAGGACATCAGCAACGCACAGACAATGACAGCAACATGTGACTTAAACTTGATAAAACTCACAAAAGTCATATGTAGAGAGAGAGATGGGGTGTTTTAAAGTTAGTGTACCATTAGTGTGTGTAGGTGAGCGATCGGGCTTGTATGTTTTACATGTAACACAAGGTCAAAGGTTTGACCTGTAGAAGCAAATGAGGTTCAAGTGTGTGTTCATAAGGGGTTTGTGAAAGAAGTCGAAGCACGGATTTGAGTTTTCATGTAGCTGTGTGCATCTACAAACCAACTTTTCAAACACCACTGAGAAAGAGCAACTGAGAGTGAAGAGTCTGAAGTATTCGCTCATGAATCACCGAGTGCTGAGGTATCCATGTGGACACCCAGTGACTCAACCTCTGAGGAGTGCAGTTGGAGAGAGAGAGTCACAAGGCCTTTGAAAGAAGCAATATTGATTACGGCGGAAGTGAACTATAAGGACAGGTGTTACAGATCATCATAGCACCACTATTACAGCAGCGTTTCCATTACATTTTTTCGCAAAATAAAAGCGATGTTTATCAAATTTCGACAAAGTACAATTGCGATTTGCGGGTGTTTCCATTGAATGGTGTTCAGTGCATAAGCGAGCCGTCTGCCTCTCGCGAGCCGTGTTTAAATGGCCGTTGCCTAGCAACGAGGTAAACTTCCTGCCCGTGCGACCTCGTATTCCTTAAGCCTTTTTGCACACCGACATGGACGAGACACAAAACATTTTTCGTTTTGGAGCAGCTATTTCTGTGACCATTACTGCTGTTGCCGCTGCTGTCATCAGAAGACGAAGGCAGCGGGTGATAATTCAAAGGCAAAGCTCGTATGTATGGAAGCGGACACGGATGAGCGATTTCTGGGAGAGGATCGTTAATGAGGAATTCACAGACGAATTGTGGATTCAAAACTTCAGAAAAATACAAATACAATTCAAAACTTCAGAAATAAGTCCGTCTCCTCCCCCGTCCACATATACCGTGCCATCTACGCTTGAAATGAACTGGTCACTTGACCCGCTACGTCACGTCCGGTGACAGAGAATTGCGAGAAAAGTGTTTCCATGACACTTTTGCGATATACTTCTATATCGACACGTCTGAAAAACCACCTCATGAGAGCGTAAAAACTTTTTAGCGATATTTGGGAGGTTTTTCGAAATGTAGGTGTTTCCATTACCAGTTTTCTATTGCGATATTTACGTTTTGCGCAAATCTATGGGTAATGGAAACGCAGCAGTGCAGGTGGATTCAAAATATCAGAAATAGACCACAAAAGAAGTGCTGGGTAAATGCTTCAAGAGAACCAGCCAACCAAATGTCATTGGTTTTGAAGATATTAGGGCAACAAGTCTTGCAGAATACAGCATAATCATTGGGTGGAGCTGACTTGACTGATAGTTGGATAGACTGTACAGGTTTGCCGGGTGGTGAAAGCCGACCTCAGCCCCAACTTTTTCCTGTTAGTGGGCAGACCAAAAGCAGGTTTGAGTTAACATGACTGATGTGGAGACAGTCTTTGTTTATCTTCAGTACTCCTCTAAGAAACCAGACAGGTTATACACAGTCCACGGTTTTATTAATAACCTACACCGTCTCTTCACAAGAGCCCTCTCTCACTTCTACCTTCTGGAAATACTAAGTTGATGTTGAGACAGCAGTCACCAAATAAAGAGCTTCCTCCACCCATATGAAGAACCAGTAGGACTTAGTTATGTACCCAATCCTACAAGACAATCTTCTAAGTCTTATTCTATCAACACTAAGGCTGCACGATATTGGAAAAAAATAATATTGCGATTTTTTCAACCCTGCGATATATATTGCGATATTAAAAATACAGTATTTTCACCAGATGACCTGAATAGCACTTAATGTTATGCTGCACTGCTGAAATCTTGAGGACAGTTAATCTGCTCTGATCTTACCTCTTTTTGTGAATGTTAGCAGAACGGCTTCTGTCTGTCTCAGAGATATTTTTAGCTTTTATTGTGCTGGGACGTTATTGTGGCAACAGATGAACACAGAACACGTGTTTTGGTCGACATCATCCTTCTTTTAACCGAAATAATTCCAGATAAATGACTTTCCTTTTCTTTTTGGCAACAAATCTTAATTTCGGTGGTTTTCGCTTGTTCGTTGTTCATTTTGCGATCGTTGTTGTTGTTGTTAGCGGTGCTGTACCGAGAAACGCATGTCCTCCGAGAATTGCATGCACCTCGCAAAACGCGCACTGCTTATAGTAGAGTGGTCCACGGAAATGTACAATTTAAAACCCATACAGTTCTTATTTATTGGGCTAAACAGTCATGAGTAAAGTTCCGAAAGTAATTCTCAGCGGACACACGTCTCCCTCCATGTGCAGAACATGTGCAGGGGTGGGTTTTCTCCTCCCTGATTTTGATTTACAGCTGGCAGGGTAGTCTGATTGGCAGCTGAGAAGTGAGTCTGATTGGCAACTGAGTTAAGGACGAAGGCGATTGGTGGATCGCTGCACAGCACATGCAGAGTCACATGGAGTGTATCTCAGTCTGTTACCCTTGAAATTAAATGAGTTCATTCACCTCCAATATCGCACAGACGTACATCGCGATGACGATAGTCAAACGATATATCGTTCAGGCCTAATCAACACCCAACAGCACAAGTTCATCTGTCTGTAACAATCTTTTATTGCCAATTCTGGGACAGTTTTGAAGGCTCTACCAAACTTCTTTGAGAGTTGAACAGCTGTCTATGAACACTGAAGCACCTCTGTGGAGAACAATAACCAGCCTCTGCTGTCACTGAGTCTGCACACCACACAGATCACTCTCGACTTCCACTTTACTTTCCAAAAACATGCTCTAATCCTCTGTCCTCCAGCTGAAGGACACTTGGATGGTGTCTCAAACCACTGGGCCTTTCCCCCCTCGCCCTGTCGCAGCCAAACCTGAATGATGGGTTTGAGGTTACGGAGCAGCTGACAGTGGGCTGCGACCCTGGAAGTTCTGCTCTTTTGAAAAAGATGGCTGGACGCACGGCCCAAAAGAAAGGTTATGAGAACATATTAACGACTGACCCAATAATACCATCCACCTCATTCAACCACAATTGCTTCCTGGCTTCCTCCTCTCTGGCATATCCTCCAACCAGGTCCTCCACACTCTGCCTGAGCCTGGGAATAAATAGTCCTGGCTCATATTTCACAATGTAATCAAAACACTGGGCTTTGTGGGAGCGCCCAGAGGATAGCAGGCTGGCAGAGCGGTGGAACAGAGAGGAGGAGGAGGACTTGGACTTGGACTTGGACGTGGGGAAGAAACAGGGAAGGGGGATTAGGCTTCAGTTTACGTAACCAAGGTCAGCTGGAGGAAAAACACAACAATCCTTGGCACAGAGAAAAAACAGTGAGAGAAGAAGGGAGGAGGTCTGGCAGAGGGAGGGAAATATGAACACAAACAGATAAAAGTGGCAGCAGGGAGGCCTTCGCTTGCGTGGCCTCGGCTTCTGGTCCAGCGTGGGGAGGAGTAATTGGGAGCAGCCGCTGACACTTTAAATAGCAGCTGAATGTGGTGGGATGCGGTTTAGAGGGGAAGTGGACTTGACACCATAGGAGGAAACTCAAATCCCATGAGCCATTGTGTAATTCAGACGAATTGAGGGAAATAGTCAAAGGGATTTGATCATCCTCAACATGAATTTAGCATTTCTGGTGCAAAATATCAGAAAAATATCAGCATGATGATGAAAGTTATGCTTAGAGAGGTTGTTTAGTTTCCTACCTATAAGAGCTCAGCACTGGGACCCTTCCAATCCTAATCCCTCCAGGACCCCCATGAGGATTTGTCCAAACCTGCAGGAAGACAAGTCAAGAGCATTTTTAAAACTTTTTTTCATAAAAGCCAAAAAAGCCTTTTACCCAATTCAATAAAGTGTCTGTTAGGAACCACAATGTGTTGACAGATGATGTTAGCGTAAGTCTGGCTGTGATACTCTCCTCTACAGAGTGAGCTAAAACCATTTGCAACGCCTGTCATGTCCTCTTAATTCACGCTATGCAGGTGAGGACTCCTTTTCTTTATACGAGGCAGCAAAGACAACAAAGATCTCACTGAACACGGACAGAGAACAGCAGCCACAAGTCTCCTTTATTGAGGAGAGAGTCTGGCACACTATGAAACAGGACCTGTTTGTGGTACTTCCTAAAGCTACTGTTGGGGAAAAAAAAGATTACTCTCCTCTTCAAACGGGAAAATCACAAAATTCTTAAAAACCAATAAAGCATAGGAGGGTTGAGGATATGGTCCAATTCTGCAAACTCAACAAAAGTCCATGTATTTTTTTATTTTCCAAACTTGAATGAAACAAACTTGGCCAAGTCCTCATCAATACAGGTAGAACCAAACCAGTCACCAGTCTCACCATTTAAGATCCGGGTGCGATAGCTAAGTCCCTGGTTTCAGAGATCTGATCTGGTTTGCCCCTCACCGTATGCAATCTTGCAAGACTTGGACATTGAAGATTTAAACTAAATGGGTTTCATGTTAGCTTAATAGCTTGCGAGGTAGCGATAGTTTGCTCACAGCATCAAAATTTTAACCAACAAAACACAGTCTGTCTACGTTTTGGAAGTTAGAGGGATAATTTGAGGATTATTTGGGGGTTTTAGGCAACTTTTTGTTCATCTACATTTACGATTTTTACTGTATAATTTGATTACTGTTTTTTCTGACACATAAAATCTCTAGAGAATCTTCATGTGATTGTATATATCCTTGGAATCTGACGCTGTGATTTAACTCTAGCCAACTCAAAGCAGAAAAGGACAAAGTGTTGAGCACTATGAAGAGTTCTGCTCCACATCCCATTGTTCACCCCTTTGCTGAAAAAAAAAGCCCCATGGGCCTCGTTCTGGAAAACAGTTACGATGAAATAAACCCGTCTTGGCCACAGCAGTGTTATTCCCTCGCCACAGGAGATCCAAATGACAGTCATTGTCCAGGAATGCTGCCTTAACATGGATGAAACTGGGTCAGACCTGGAGTTCTTCCAATCCACCCACAAAGCTTTTAAAAAAATGTGGTTTGAAACTGCAGGGCCCTCCGCTCACTGATCCCACATTTCCTACCTCTGTCCCCATCTCTGGGATGTGTTGGGTCTTGTTTTACCGCAGATCCCTCAGGTGAAAATCTGGCTCGGATGCAAAATCTAACTTGTTCTTGTTTTATCTTTGGGCCAGACTGTTTTCCGGGGTGAGGCTTGAGCTGAGCTGCATGAAGACAAGTTTGAAGCTGAAAGTGCAAAGAGCAGTTTAGTGGAACTGTGGGCAAAGATTGATGGGCTGATAGGATTGACATGACAGGAACAGGAAGAATGGCGTTTTTTTTCCCACTCATGTTTGTTCACCTCAGTGGGTTTCCTTTTAGTGGATTAAAGTCGACTTTTATCACACAATGGTTCATCAGATTGAGCAAAGAGAGGAGGACCCTGAAAGCCTGGAGCACCTTTCCGTCGACTGTGTCGCACTCAGCTCTCTGACACTTAATGAAGTAAAGCTCTGTTTTTTCAGCCAAAGGCTCTTCTGCCGCCAAACCAAATGTCTTATGTAAGAGCACATAAAAGGGGTGGACTCGGACCTGGATACTTTTAAGCCTCAATGGTCGAACTGGGAAATTTGGCAAAAAAATGATCTCAATATATTTGACATTTCGTCTGATCTTGATTATTTCACGAAGTGCCAGTTTTAAAGCATCTGTACTAAAAACTAAAAAAACTACAGATTATTTTAACATTCTATTAACAAAACAAAGAAAATTGAATAAGATAAACTTAAACTAAGAAAAAATATATAAAAACTAGTGAACTAGTTTACAGTGTTTTTGCAAGTATAGAGAGACCTAAACATACATAAACAAATCGCCCCCTCAGGGATTATGAAGACGCTTTAAAATGTGAACATTAGATGATGTAAACGTCGATGATACGACTGATTGCTGCTTTGGCTTTGGTGGCTGCACTGCTAGTTGTGGCTAAACTGCTAATGCTACTTGTGCCGTCAGCAGTGGCAGACTGTGCAGACATCGCTCACGTTTTCATGCTTTCCACTTGATCACTCAGGAAGTACTTCTCCAAATAAACAGATCTGTTGTGTTGCTGGTTTGTGAGGGCACCGACCGCCGACATACCTTGCAGTTCGACTTAATTGCTCAACGTCAATTTGGAGATATTCGAACCACCGCCACACAACTGACGTTAAATAACTTTTCATCTCAACAGTAACATCTTTGGAGGATGACTCAAAGTCATGGCTGACATCTTTTTTGCTGTCCTCAGCTCCGCGTTTAGCTCCACGTTCGGTCATTCTGTTTACTTAACAGGTGTTGTGCCGTAGAATGCACCCCTGCAGTAGAATGCACCCCCGACGGGAGCGCGGTTGAAAGTACTTAACAAGGCGAAAATAATCGAAGTTTTCCTTACCATTGGATGAATTCATAAGCATGTGCCTTTAATAATTTCATTCAGGCTATTCAGATAAGCCGAAAAAATATCCCTCTGATTTGGAATATTTGCTGTCCCGAAAATATAATGTTCGCTAGCTTGACAGCTTACTGTACAGTTTAAATACGCAAGCACACCTCCGTATGTGCATTTTTGAGACACATAAAAACAGAACGAAAGTTGTCACGATCAAATACTCGTATTTTTTAAAATATGAGATAATTTTCTTCCACTTTAAGAAGCTAACGAGTGGATGGGATGCAGGGGGTGCATTCTACTGCATAACACCGGCAACTTCCAGAAGTGAGCAGGACAAGCTTGACTCTGATTGGCTGTTATCAGGCACATTTCCGCTCTGTTTGATTGAGTAAATACGCTCACAGCTGGTTACTGTGATCGAACTGAAATTTATCACGATCATATAATCGCGCAGTCCTACTCAATGGCTCCAACTGTGCCCACTCATAAAGGACAGTACCAAATTCAGCCAGCTTGTCGTTGTGAGGGCATGTACCGTGACTCAACTGGTGACACGGCTTGTTTGCTGGACCTTCTAATGCTCTTGCAGAGGAACATCACACCCAGAAGTCCTTTCACAACACATCCACAGCTCAAAACACAGCAACATTCTGACACTGACTTCAGGGAGTTGACTCAGATCAGGTCAGATTTAACATGGGGGGAAAAAATTGCTCCTGCTACAGCACAGCTCAGGCAGAGAAGTATTTTCTGTAAAAAGGAAACATGTCCTTTCAAAGCAGCACAAACTGGGTTCCTGTGAGAAAAACCAGCTTTTTAGACGCCCAATTTCCAGTCCGGTCCCAAGGTAAGTGTGAGTGACTTGGTGGTGAACTTTGGTCCAAATCTTTGCACCATAATGTTCCTTTTTTATTTAGTTTTTCCACTTTGTTGGTTCAGAGGAGCTTAAACAAGTAAATATCCCAAACGCATGAAATAAAAAAAATCTGTCTCCTCACAGGAGGAAATGACACAGCACCACCAAAACCAACAGTGCCACCATTCCTGAGGTTGTGAAGCTGTCGGCCTTAAAACTAGCCTTGACAGTGTGCCTTGGACTGCAGCCGCTCTGTAATTAAGTACGAGAAATTTTGGCTTTTTCCCTCTCTGTTCTTTGGAAAATATATACAGGGTCTAAATACAACTCCTGCCCTGCCCTCTAGAGCTCCTGGCACAAGGCTGAGGACATCCTGCTTTTTCCTCCATCCACATCTGTTCATTCAACCTCAGGATGAATGAAGGATAAACCAACAATTCCCACCAGAAATAAGCCAGATGAAGTAGCCTTTGTGAGAAACTGGAACTATATATGTATCCTGGCTAAGTCAGTAAATGGTTAGTGAAACTGGAATTCCTCGGCCTGCCTCAGCAGAGGGATTAATCTTTCAACTTTGTAGTGAGCTAACGAGAGGCAGGGTGTTTCTCTGGAAACCTTAATGAGGGAGAGGATGAGCGTTTCCCAGCGACAGCTTGGTCTGAAACTCTAATTGTGTTCTTCTGCTGAACATGACACGCAGTGAGCTGTCTCTATAGCCGATTCATTCGTTTACTGTGTGTTTTCTAATGCCATTCAAAAAAGGGATAAACCCATCATCGTAATCTGACAACACAGTGTACCAAATTCCCCCGACTCTTATTAGTCATGATTGATTTTTAAAGTCTGCAGGGAAACGCACAGCAGTCATCAACTTTCCTCGTCAGCCAGCTTTAATTACCAGCGTTCCTCTGTCCATCCTCCCTGTCTGTGGCTTTGACTTAGTAATAATAATCATAAATAATAGGGCTGAAACGATTCCTCGAGTACCTTGATTACAAAAAAATGATTGAAGAATTTTCTCTGTCTTGAGTACTCATTTAAACTGTTTAACACGGATTATTTTCAAGGTGACACAACGCACTTCCGTCACCACGGCAGAAGCAGAAGTAAGCGCGGTTTTGGTTTTGAGGAGCTCATTAGCACTTCTCCTCTGAGTCGTGGGCGGAGACAGCGCTGCTCTGCATATTCCTCTTCATGCTAGCTTGCAGCCTAACATTGCCAGAGTAGTAGCAGAAGCGGGTGATATACAAGGAAATCAATTGATTGTTCATTATTAAGTTAAATGTCTTATATTCTCTTGAATATTAATAACTGCACTTTGACTAAAACAAATAATATTTTATCCGATTACTCGATTAGTCGGTGGAACATTCAGTATAATACTAAAATATTTGATAGCTGCAGCCCTAACAATAAGTTTAACTTCCAAACACTCAACATGATTCTCATCAAAACTTCACTCTTAAAGGGATATTCCGGCGTAAAATTAATTTAGGGTCAAACACACCATAAAACCAAGTTAGACACACCAACCTAGGTAAAGGCCGCACAATAGCAATACACAACGGTCTACGTCTCCACACACAGACCTCAACCAAAACGCCACTCTATAGCCACAAATAATGCTCAGAACAGCACCTAACTTCATCAACAGGACATATAGGGTCACAGACATAGCACTTGCCATCAAACATCTTGCTTAATTTCTTTAGCAAAGACACTAAACACAACTTACCTTCTCTCTTCCAGCAGCCGCTTGTTTGTAGCGAGACCTCGGGCCAGTCCATCATTTACTGCAGCGGAGGGGCGCAGCTCAAGGAAGAATATGGTGATTATTACTTCAAGGAAATGATAAAGTAATGATCATAAATGTTCTTCCTTGAGCTGCGTCCCTCCGCTGCAGTAAATGATGGATTAGTCTGAGGTCTTGCTACAAACAAGCGGCTGCTGGAAGAGAGGAGGTGAGTTGTGTTTGGCCAAAGAAATTAGCCAAAGCTAAAAAGATGTTTAATGGCTAGTACTATGTCTGGGACCCTATACTGTTGATGAAGTTAGGTGCTGTTCTGAGCATTATTTGTGGCTATAGAGTGGGTTTTTGGTTGAGGTTTGTGTGTGGCTCCTTACAGTGCTGTGTATTGCTATACAACTAGAGAAGCTAGCGGTCGGCAACATTCATCTCTGGAGGGGGTGTCTAACTCTGTGTTACGGTGTGTTTGACCCTAAATTAATTTTACGCCAGAATATCCCTTTAATCTAAGTCTGGTACTTTTGGACCAGATCTTGGAACAGTCCAAGTAGTTGGGTCTAGAAGATAAGTGCCATATTCTTAATTGAATATGCTGTATATCAACAAAAACCTGAGGGCCAGATTCACAGAAGTGTGTATGCCTGCTACAAACACAGCAAGGGGAAACAACGGGCAGTGTCGCTCTGAGCGGTATCTAAGCGACTCTGATAAAAGTGCAAACATTAACTCTGACTCACTTTAAACGGACAAAAAGAGAGAGACTGCCATGAGATAAAGAAGAGGACAAGTCTGCACATGCAGCAGTATGAACGTGTGTGAAATGAGTAAAATTGAAACTGAAACGGTTCACGTCTCACTCATTTGAAGTTCCTTGAGTTGTATTTTTAAACCATATCCCGGCTGCAGATGTGAATCTTGACTGTAATGAAAAGATAACAGCTGACTCACTCGTCACTGAACACTCTTTAAGGTTGTTGAACACACTTTGTGATTATGGGGCATGAGTGTAAAAGTCCCTCTGGCTGATATTCCTCCCGCCTGATTTCACTCTCCTCTCGTTCCCATGCTCGGCACCTCAGTGTGTTCTGACTCTCAGCCACTTCCACACATCTGCAGGGCTCATACAATCTCAGAAACCACAGTGCTTAAGGTCAACCTGTTTCACACACAGCAGAGAGCAGGTTTGTGTGGCTTGCAGCCACAAGGAACGCCTTCAAAGAAGAGGATCTCATTCTCAAGTTATCCAACAGCAGTCAGCTAAAATCTTCACCTGCAGCACCAACAGGCCGGGCTGCAGAAATTCAACATGAAATTCAGTGAAATTAGAGCAGCAAATGGAGTGTGAACTTGTTCCTTTGCTCTCAGATTATGCTCAGTATTGAATTTCATATGCAGCGGCAGCAGCTGAAGCCCAGGGGCAAACCCCCCTCAACTGTGCCAGACCCAGGAAACAAACAGTAGCTATTTACTCCAGTTTTAAAAAAGGCCAGACTGTTTCCACTCATTCAGGAATTTGGAGAGAGTGGCAGTGACTTTGCTTGAATGCTCAGCTCAGGTTTAATTCTTGTAGTTCCAGTTTTTCAGAGAATACAACAGCGTTCACACTGGAATCTAAGGGGTGCTCCTTTCCAGAGAATCCACCGACAGATGACGACGCCTTCACCTGGACTGATGCCCTGATCGTTGAATGTTCCTTTTTTCACAGATTTGGAAAGCTGTTTATCCAATCATGGACAAGCTGCAGTTTCACTTCAATAAATCAGAATCAGGAGTCACTGACAGACCGCTGCCAAAACACCCACTGGATTTCCACAGTAAAAATGGGATGAAGTATGCTGAGCCACATGATCTTACACTTTATTTTCTCTCAAGTAGGACTGAACTAGCTTGCCCGCGCGCCACAGAGACACTTGAATCCTGAGTGACAGGAAGTAAAGGTTGGATAGGTCTGAAGGTAACACCCAAAACACCTCATCAGACAGTTCACACATAAACTGCACCCCTTAAAGATGGACTGAAGTTACCAGAGTGGGCTGCAAACAGGAGCTACTGCTGCATCCTGTGAATGTTGAATTATGCAACTCAGACAATCATCACAGACAGCTGTGAGAGAAACCCCAATCAAAGAAAGAAAGGGTCTGTTTTTTTACTCTCACTTAAACAAAACACGTCTTAATTACTGATGGTCACAGCTCACACAAAACAGAGGGACCTGAGCGCTCGGGCTGTCACGATTAGTAATGTCTGAAGACGATGAATATATGGTCCATTATTCCCCTTCTTTATATTCTTCTATCATGGTATAATGAGCCAGTTGACGGGATGCACCAGCTGCTGTTGGACCGACTGCTGATTGTGCCGGAGTGGTCTGTCTGAGTTTGGCGTATCTCTGTGGACGGTGTGTTTTTAGATGTTGTTTTAGATTGGTTGTGTTAGCGCTCTTGACGGCAAAGTTAACATATCTCTTCCTCCACGTTACCGGGCTCTACTTTACTGTTCGTCTTAAATCCAAAATGCACCCACAGCGGTGCAGCGGTGCATGGCTTTGGAACCAGAACCTCCTGATCCTCACCTCGAGTCGCTGCCCATCCGACCATGACGTGAGGTAAACAACGTGTGGCTGCCATGGCGACAGTGCATGCTGCATCTGATGAAGCAACACGATGATGACAAACTCAGATTTGGGGTTATTTTATGCACCTTTGTGGATAAAATAATAATTGACATGATCATGAATATGAAAAATAATTGCAACTGTTGAATATTGTAATAATCCCGACTGCCCCGCTGAGCGCTTTCAGGCAGCAGGAGCGTGTTCTTCTACTGATTCAGAGGAGAAATGGAGGAAATGTCAAACTACATTTCAGCTTCCGTCTGGGAAAGATGGTGAAAGAAGGCGGTTAGTGGAGGGAGAACTATCAACCAGGAAAACAAAAGTAAAATCCATATACCATGCCACTGATCAGAAAGAAGACTGAGGAAATGCTGCCCTACTGAGTGACAAAAAGACTCAACTGTCTGTGCAAGCTACTCTTCGACTGAAAGAAGGGTGGAGGTAAGAACAAAAACTCCCTTTTCAGGTCTAAAGCTTTTGCTTCATGCTAAAAAAAGCCTGTCCCACATTAGGGAAAAGTGAGTCTATAGATACACAGTTCAGTTCAGTGTTGTTTCATCAACCTTTAACACTTCACAATGGGACTTGAACTAAAGCCCAGTTTTTAAATTCAGTTTAAGCTCCTATGTTTTTCTTGTGTTGTCATTTCTTCCCAGTATCAGAATAAAAATCAACATCCATTGTATCTTTGAGTGCAGAAACGCCCTCTCTTGGGAAATCTTGTTCACAGCAAAGGGACAGGAGGAACACAGGAGGAGGCCTCCGGCTCTGGCTGTTTCATCTCCTAATGATATTGTGATGTGATCAAAAGCTGTTGAGCCTCTTTTGGAAATACCCTGGAGTCAGATTTAATTTTTTTAGTCTCATCCCACATGCACCGCCCCGTTCAAGCTTTTGTTACCATACTCAGGTCTGCTTTTGTTAGTTCTTTTTAAAGCTCCTGTGTGGAATTTTCAGCTGGTTATGAAACAAAAAGATATTTTATATTGATGCTGCAACAGGACTCCGACAAACAGATTACGGTGTGTTGTTGTCTTCAAAAACGTTTTTTTACATTTCCACAGAAAAGTCAAATCCTTTACAGATAGAAACTTTTCATGAAAGAAACTTCTGTGACAATAAGCTCAAAACAAACACTGTTATAGTGCAAATATTGCTTTACCTGAGGGAGGGTTCCCAACAGGAGCAGTTTTAACAGACCGCAGAAAAAATGACTAAGAGCTTGACTTCGAGGGTTTGATTTTAATGTCAGATGACCCTGTAAGGCTCAACAGTGGTGCCACAGATGACAAGTAGAAAGCTCCTTAAGGAAGCAGTAAGTATCTCTCCTCCTCTCCTCCTTTCCTCTCCTCTCCTCTCCTCTCTCCTCCTTTCCTCTCCTCTCCATTTCCGGTGTGTATGAGCCTGAGTGATGGTGGTGTTGTTGAGAGTGGTGCAGAGTTTGAATCTGATTTTTCCCTGTTTTCTAACATCATGATCAGGTAAGAGTTTTCTTTTCTGTTTGCTGCCTGTGTGCTGTGTTTGGACGGTTTGTTGGCAGATATGTTCATGTTCATGTTGTTTTTTTTTAGAGGTATGGCGTCCACAGAGATGCCACTTTGTCCCTGCCACACAGAGCCTGGATTGTTCCTGTGGACTCTAAAGTCTCAGTGGAAGAGGTTCTTCTGGATGTGGCTGAGCAGGTAGTACATTAAGGCGTTGTAGTGTTCCTCAAATCTGAGCAGTTAGTATTTCAGATAATTGAGTGGCGTGTTCATCACAGATTTGTTTGTACAGGTTTTCCCCCTCTCTGCTCCCTCCGTTCTGGTCACCATGTCCGGTGTTTCCCTCTTTATTTCAGACGAGCAACTGGAGAGTAAACTCTGTAGGTTGGGAAAATTTGCCAGAAGCTGTAAAACCATATGTTTGGGTTGTAAAGACCAAAAACTGAAGCATAGCTTGTCTCTGAGGAGACAAGTGTTTATGTTTCTAGACTCTCCGAGTCAATGTCTGGAGGTATCATCTACAGTAAGAAGAAAGATCATATATGGTTTATGCCACGGTGTTGTTGTATTTCCGACTTGAGTCAGACTGAGTCCGTGCCCATCGCTTTGACTGCTGTGGCTGGTTTAGTGGCGGTTGTGCGCCCTGCAGCAGATGAGCTGCAGCCGTGCCTGCTGCAGTGGGCTTGGATGTGGCCATGTGCGCCGCGGTGGGCTCAGTGGCGACTGCGGACGGGTCGGCCTGCACTGTTGCTGGTCTCATAGTTGATGAAGCTTCAGTGCTTGTTAACAATGTGTCTGTAGGACAGACGCAGAGCGAGTCTACAGAGGCCACATTGGGGTTTTTTGACTCCAATGATACTGAAGCTTCTCACACGGAAGCAGATCTACTCACTCGAAGCCATTAACCAGTTCTTGGATGGCACATTCAATAAAAAACAAATGGAAGTGAGTGATTTTTCCACAGACTGATAGTGTGGAAACAGAGCCTAATGTGTTTCTGTGAAACACTGTGATAACAGAGGAGGATGAGTGGGAAGGCGAGGGCTGTTTGTGTCGTAAAACTTTTACAGCCCTCTCGGCTCATCATCATCACGCCTGCTGAGGTAAACCCCCGACACTTCACTGGCCTGCTCTCCGTCTCCTCACAGAAAAAGGAAGCTGTCTACCAGCACAGAAACCTTCGCTCCTCTTTATTCCAGCCAATAACAGCGACTCCAGAACATGACCACAGCACAGGCATGTTATTTATTCATCCTGCTGGAATTAGCCTGTGGACATCTTTTTATTGCCCCTGTTGAATTATGTCCTGCTTCACACTGCAGTGCTGCCAAATTTACACAATAACCAAAGATATAGTGGAAAGACATCAAAAATTTACATAATAATTATTGTTTTGGCAGAAAGTTTTTCTCCCCCTAGCGGCTGAATTAATCTTCGCAAACTCTTAAATGTTGTAAACAATCAGACGGAAAATTTCACTTTTTACTTCCTATCAGCGCACAAACACACAACTCACACGTCTATTAAAGAGGCCTCCATAGCTCATAAGACATATGAAATGAACTTAGAGAATTAAGTCATTATTTTTAATGATGTGCGGAATTTGGAGAATTTATCAAATGTTAATCATACTTATCCAATTTCATCCTGCGTCAGTGTCTCTGGTGTTGGACAGGATCTCTCTCTGGAAGCCGATAATTTTCAAGCAAGTTTATTGGGAACTGTTTTCTTTTTCAACACTGTTACCCGGAGCGAAAGGTTCTGAATATCAGACCCACCGATTGTTTGTATCGGACTATTGGTTTACTAGACCTCGCCACAGCTGACCAACCCTGTCTCAAAGTTCTGGGACTTTGATAAATGCCAAAGAGACCGCAGTCAACGGTTAGCCTGACGCATAACAACCTACGGTGATCTGACATCTGCAACAACCACACTAATCCTGTCCCACCACCACCTTCACTCAGTGTCTGCTGTGCTCAAATGGCTGATTAAGTTGAATAATAATAATAATAATAATAATAATAATAACTTTATTTATATAGCACTTTTAAAAACAGAAGTTTACAAAGTGCTTGTTGCAGTTTGTTGCAGAAAATCCAGATCCAGAAGGCTGAGGCTGATGGACACTATCATCGTCAGGTCAGTAAAACCCAACACAGCCTGTGCCTGAGTAGTACGGCTGAGACTGCTAAGGTAAAGGCTAGCATCAAACTAGACTGCACAACTGGGTTGACCTGCAGGTTCAGACTGAGGTTTTCATCAAAAATCACATCTAGATTTTTGCATTTGGCTGAAACAATTCGTGACAGAGAGCCGAGATGTGTCACCATTCCTGCTTGGCCCAGACCAATAAGGAACACCTCATCAAAATTAAGCTGCCAGTAATTATTATACATCCAGCATTTATGTGTGTGTGTGTGTGTGTGATACTAATGTAAAGACAGAAAGCACTCTTCATTTATAAGGGTTCCTATCATGTCTGAAGCTTGTATGGTGGTTTACTTGACTGAATGCTGAGATTTACACCTCCCTCCTAACACGGTTAATGAGCCTGAAAAAGCCATTTGCATTTTAAACAGGATGTGTCACACTAGTTAGTGCTTCCCCTCTGACGCTGAGGTTCCTAACATGATCTCCATCCAGATCAGAGTTTCTGCACCTCTTAGGAACCAAATTCATCATGTTCATAATGACGTCCAGTGTTTTCTCACACACACAGAGAATACCTGGACAAGCTGCCCAGGTATCATACCCTCCTTCCTGCCCTCATTTACTTCTTGTTTTTATTTATTGGGGGCTTTTGTGCCTCTATTTAAGAGGACAGGGAAATGGATCAGGCGGGAAATGGGAAGGGACTACAGGCTGGAATAGAACCCAAGCCTTCCCCGGGAACATAACCTGGTGCAAACCTCACCTGCTACGGCAGCAGCTCCTGACGGCTAAATTTCACAGGATACGTAACGGCAGCCTTATCATATACCCAAGCATTATAATCATTGTGCGTGATTCCACATAATGCGTCCTGCACCGCTGCAGATCCGCTCCAGTGGTCTGATCAGATACACAAGGCTTCAATTTCATATGTTCCTTGATGCTGTGCTGTTACATTCAGACAGAGTTAGCAGTTAGAGGTCCTATTGTGGTCCACATGGATCAGGGATTGGCTCTGGGGTTGTTGTGAGTTAATGATAAATCCTTAACCAGGAAGTATTTCTCATCTACATGATCTGATAAACAGTCCGGAGTCCACACATGGTGTTTTATTTTGGAATTTACTGAATTTACTATATTCTGATTGTGCTGGACTTCCTGTCTGATGCTCTCTGCTCTGTGTAGATTGACGCATGTCGGAAGCATAGAACATCGAAAACAGACTCTGTGTATATCTTTGGCAGAGCAGCGCAAGGAGACGCTTATAGCACGGAGCGGAAACGGAGCAGAGACACATCCTGTGTGTGATGCTGCAGTGATTAAAAATGTGAACGTACTGACAGAACACTCTCAACATGGACCCTGTGGGTTATGGGCTGAAGATGCAAGAGCAGCAGAATGTCAGATTTGGAATAAAGACCCTATTTTCCTGAACTGAAACAAATCTGTGATGTTCATTCAGTGAAAGCTACATGAGCGTCATCATGGATTTACTGTGTACTGCAACACTCACCTTTAATGCACAAACTATGTCAGGAGACTAAGTGACCCCCTCCACTCTGAACAACTTTTCCCTCTTTATGTGTCAAAATGATCCATGCAGAGATGATTTATGCAGATTTTCTTACTACAGACCACCAAGAAAAACAGGAAACAGACAAACAAAAACACTGAATAGAGCAGACCAGGTGGTCACAATCAGAACAGTCACTATTGTTCTCACATCAGTGTGCAGCAATTTACACCTCAAGGCTAAGATTTAAAGACCTGTTTAGATTACAGTGATATTTCACCAAGGAGAGTTTTTATCAGTGTGATTACATCGCGATATGAAAAGGCTGTGATTTCGACTGGTCACGTCATCTCGATCAGCGGGCGGGGCAAAAGTAGAGCAGGCAGGTACAGAAGTCAACACTGCACTCAGTCGCACTATGGTCTAATGCCACCACAGAAGCTGAAGAAAGTTTAGTACCAAAGAGGAGCGGCACGGCAGTTGTGTGGATTTATTTTGGCAAAAAAATTAAAAAATGCTGCTGCACAACGTGTGCAGAACCTGTCATGCTACTGTTGCTACATCGAGAAGTAATGTAATGAACCTTTATCAACACTTTAAAAAAAAAAACAACAAAACCATGCAAGATAGATGAACGACTAAAAGACCAGCGATGTCTGCGACGGACAACACATCAGACAGACAAGACTCCAGTACTTTGGGTACCAATTACATCTCAACATCAGTACATAAGTTAGTATCATGACGTATATGAGGACACATGCATCTGTGCGCGCAGAGAGAGGTCGTGTGTGTGAAAAAGAGACTAACACTTGGAGGGAGGGAGAGAATGTAAACGTGTGTTTATTCCAAAGCTGATAACCTTGAATCACACAAGTCAACCTCCATAAATTACACTGTTCTTGTACTGTTTAGTATTACAGGACATGCATTAAGAGATGATAGAGAGTCAAGAGCAATAAGGCTGAGCAGGAAGGTGGTGGGAAGAGGGCAGAAATAAGTGAAGCACAGAGGGAGCTCAAACTTTCTCATCACAGAAATGATTATGGCCAGAAAGACTAATTTATGTATAATAAATCTGCTATTGTTTACAATTATACAGACTGATTTATTGTTTGTGTTTGTTGAAAAAAAAAACATTAGAAGAGGACCTTGAAAAAAAATAACTGCATACTAAATCGCAATCACAAAATTGAGGAAGAAAATCGCAATTAGATTTTTTCCAAAATCGTTCAGCCCTACTCCTGAGACACATAAAAGTACGAGTGCTGAACTGATGGAGCTACATGAAGTAAAGGGGGAAGGGGGGGGGAATAACACACACACACACACACACACACACACACACACACACACAGAGGTCTGCTTCATTTGTAGCCAGAGTGAGGTGGAGAGGGTGGAAAAGATTATTCCTGGTGTAAGCGAGGGAAAAACAGCATAAGCTCTCCATTAATAACAGGAAGAGAGTGTTATTTATGAAAGCCTGCTGCTCACACAGAAGCCCAGTTTGTGGGCTTTACATAACAACTGACACACTGACATGCCCACCGGTACACAGCAAACACCCAGTCGCACATTTGTTTCAGGTTTTCTCCAGGATTAGAGAACAGAAAAAGGAATGTGACCAGAATTTCAGATCGGCTTAAGAAATGTGTAAATCCAAGCCTTACTAATCTGACGGTGCAGCCCGTAAACTGTGAGCAGCAGCTCTGTTCACAGTGAGCGGCGCAGGTTGCCAGGAAACGGTGTGCGCTCACAGGGCGTTCACACTCACACGCAGTCACATATTCACACAAACATTTTCATATGTGTCTGAGTAAGGACCTCTGTGCTCGAGGCTTCAGCACAGGAGGGAAGTCCCACCGAGGGAATACTGTGTCAATACGAGGATTACAGAGCACCGTGACCCCTGACCCCCCGTGGGAGTGTGAACCAACAGGAAGTGTCGGAGTAAGACGGCACATGATGGGCAGGCTGTAAAAATACTGGTCTGCTGGGGCGGTAGGTCCATTGTCTCCAAGTAACAAGTGAAACACCGTCGAGTTAACGTCAGTTTGAGAGCGTTTTCTGCAGCTCTGCTATAACAAAAGCTGAAAAATCAAACATTTTAACTGGGGGTATTATACTTCTCCACATTTACAACCAAAACTACAAAGTTACAAAGTTGAGAAAGTAAATTTAACCTGCTGAAACCTCAAAAATGCGAGACTGTGGTTTATGTGTGAGATTTACTAAATT